AAAGCTAAAAAAAAAAAAAAAAAAAAAAAAACAGAGCGAAGAAGAAGACGATTTGCGCGAGACGGATAAAGAACGATCGAGAAATAGAGACAGCAAGATTGCTATCTCCTCCTCTTGGGTACGTTCTTCTCTCTCTCTCTCTCTGTCTCCTAGTTTCGATCTATCTTAGGGTTTTTTTTTTTTTTTTAATTTCCCCTATCCATCAATTTGAAATGTTGAGCTGATGGATTCGTTATTTGATATGATTTTTTGGTCAGGGTGGAAAATGGGAATCTCAGTTCTTGTGGACAGTATCACATCGTTTCTAAATCTGTCGTCATCAAGACATATCGATCTAGACCCTTTCGAAAAGTACTACAAGAGAGTTGAAGAGTTGCTGATAGTGTTGAAGCCCATAGCTGATCTTCTTGTTATCAACTCCAATCTTGTTTCCGAGGAGGAGGAGAAACTTGTTAAAGCTTTCGAAGAATTGACTCAGGATGTTGATCACTCCATTGATCTTTTCAGAACTTGGCACGCCTTCTCCAGTAAAGTCTACTTCGTAAGTTCCTTGCAGTTTCAACATTACCTTACTCTCTCTATTAACAATGAGTTTCAATATTCTTCTGCTCAGTTTCTCGGAATAAAGCTAATCACACATATAGGGTTACTCATGTATATCGTTCTCTCTTGGTATCCAAATCTTTAGGTCCTCCAAATCGAAGCTTTAATACCTAAGATGCGAGAAACTATTGTGGATGCTTTCCATTTTCTCATGTCTTCTCAAAACGACCTACCTGATCAGTTGACTCCAGCTTCCCTCGAGGTATATTTTCTCTTTTTGGAGGAAGGAATCTTGCATCATTTTGCCTTTCTACATATGTGTGGTTGTATTCATTTTCACTAGGAGATTGATTTACAAATGTTTGTCATTGCAGAAATGTCTAGAGAAGATTAAGCATCTTAGTTATGAAGAAATATCTTCTGTCATTGATGGTGCTCTAAGGGATCAGAGAGATGGCGCTGGACCCACTCCTGAGATCTTGCTGAAAATTGGAGAGAACACTGGTCTCAGATCAAACCAGGAGATTCTAATCGAAGCTGTTGCTCTAGAGAGGCAGAAAGAGATTGCTGAGCAGTCTGAGAATAATGCAGAAGTCGAGTTCCTTGACCAGTTGATTGTTATTGTTAACCGCATGCACGAACGTCTTCTTCTCATCAAACAGACTCAGACATCTAGTGTCGCTATTCTTGCCGACTTCTTTTGTCCTCTCTCCCTTGAAGTTATGACTGATCCAGTGATTGTGTCATCAGGGCAAACATATGAGAAGGCTTTCATCAAGAGATGGATTGATTTAGGTTTGAAAGTTTGTCCTAAGACTCGGCAGACTCTGACTCACACGACTCTGATACCCAATTACACCGTCAAGGCCTTAATCGCTAACTGGTGTGAGACAAATGATGTCAAGCTCCCTGATCCCAATAAATCAACGAGTTTAAACGAGCTGTCTCCTCTTTTGTCATGTGCAGACTCCATTCCCAGTGCTTCAACTCATAAGGTTAGCAACAAGTCAAATGATTTGGATGCTTCTACAAGCCGAGCAGATGAAAAAGAGACTGGTTCTCCTTCACGTTCTGCTTCTGCCTGGGACACTTCTTCACCAGGTGTATCTGGAAATGGGTTAGGTATGGACGCCATGAGGATGTCACTAAATGATTATGAAGATAGATCTAACGATTCTCGAGAAATGAAGACAGATGCACCCGGTAGGTCATCTGTATCTTCAACTACACGAGGCTCAGTGGAAAATGGACAAACATCTGAGAATCACCATCTTAGGTCCCCTTCTGCTGCTAGCTCAGTTTCTAATGAGGAGTCTCCAAGAGCAGATGGGAACGAGAATTCAGAAGAATCAGCTCATGCTACACCTTACAGTAGTGATGCTTCTGGAGAAATTAGATCAGGGCCTCTCGCTGCAACCACTTCAGCAACTCCTCGGCGAGATCTTTCTGATTTCTCCCCAAAATTTATGGATAGACGTAACCGTGGCCAGTTCTGGCGCCGTCCATCGGAGAGGCTTGGTTCAAGGATTGTTTCAGCGCCTTCGAATGAAACAAGGCGTGAACTTATTGAGGTCGAAAACCAAGTTAAAAAGTTGGTGGAGGAGTTGAAAAGCAGTTCATTGGATGTTCAGAGACAAGCAACCGCGGAGATAAGGTTGCTAGCGAAGCACAACATGGATAATAGGATAGTAATAGGGAACTCTGGGGCAAGTGCCTTACTAGTAGAACTACTTCACTCATCAGACCCAGCTACACAGGAAAACGCTGTGACAGCTCTTCTAAACTTGTCCATTAATGACAACAACAAGAGTTTAATCGCTGCAGCTGGTGCAATCGAGCCGCTCATTCACGTGCTTCAGAATGGTGGCTCTGAAGCAAAGGAGAATGCAGCTGCTACCCTCTTCAGCCTCTCTGTTATAGAAGAGCTCAAGATTAAGATAGGTCAGTCTGGTGCAATTGGGCCTCTTGTGGATCTTCTAGGTAATGGTACCCCGCGGGGTAAGAAAGACGCTGCTACTGCATTGTTTAATCTATCGATACATCAAGAGAACAAGGCGACGATTGTGCAGTCTGGGGCTGTGAGATATCTTATTGATCTGATGGATCCAGCAGCTGGGATGGTGGATAAAGCTGTTGCTGTTTTGGCTAACCTTGCTACGATTCCTGAAGGAAGAAACGCTATTGGTCAAGAAGGGGGGATAGGTCTTCTTGTTGAGGTCGTTGAGTTGGGTTCAGCTAGAGGGAAGGAAAACGCAGCAGCAGCACTACTTCAACTTTCGACCAACAGTGGTCGGTTCTGCAACATGGTTCTTCAAGAAGGAGCTGTTCCTCCTCTCGTTGCTCTCTCACAGTCTGGTACTCCCAGAGCCAGAGAAAAGGTACATACTTTATAAAATATTTCATGTTCCTCGTTGATGCTTTTTTTTTTGCTAGAGTAGCGACTATATCACTGATATAATATCAGCATGAATCTCTTGATTTTGATTGTTTTGAAGAATTTGATGTTGTTCTAACGTTTTTTGGAGGATGTTGTAACTTGTCAGGCACAGGCATTGCTCAGTTATTTCAGGAACCAACGGCATGGCAACGCTGGGCGTGGCTGATGATGACAATGATGATGCGTGGATTCTGGTTCCTCGGTGCCTACTTTCTGTTTGTTTTCTTACTAAAGTAGTGATTTTGTACAAAAGAGGTTTCGTCTGCAAATGATTATATACTCAATATTTTCTTGATTATTTGCATTCTTTGACTCTCGATTGATCTTATCAGGAATAAAACTCTGACTTGAAGTAGAAGTTTGTAAGTCTGAAGTAAACAATGTAGATGTGAATGTAAATCGAGTGAGAGTATTTTAACCTTTGATGGACTATCTGTGAGAGTACTGTGTTTGTTTGTTCATTAGAAAAGTATTGTGATGTCAAATCTAGTTATTATTTTCAAATTTTTTTACTCTACATCAAAAATAAAATGAAATGTTTCCTTTTTTTTTCAAGCTTTATATCACTCAGCTTACATATTGACAATGAGGTAACAACAGATTCGTCGGTGGACCAGTGACGAGATCGAATCCATTACTAAAAATATCGTTAACGAAAAGAATTGGCAGAATATGGGATTTCGTGATAGTTAAAACCTAAAAGTAAAACAAATCATAAACTAGAATAGAACCTGCACCGTGCGAGGTTAAATTTCTTTTTTATATTTTATAAGACAAAATAACTAAAATAGTACTAAAAAAGTTTTTGTCATAAATATAATACATAAGAATAAAAATTATCAAAATAACATTTAATATTTTATCAAAAGAGATACATATACACATATGTCCTAATAATAAATTAATTTAAACATTAGGGTTTAGAGTTAATGGGTGGGATTTAGAGTTTAGAGTTTAGGGTTTAGGGTTTAGAATTTAGGTTTTAGGGTTTAGAGTTGGGGAGAGGAGTTTTGGGAATAAGATTTCAACAAAAATTTAAAATTTTCAAAAGATAAAATGTTATTTTGGTCATTTTAATTTTTGTGGGCTATTTTTATGACATAAACTTAAAAATATACTATTTGGAAGATTTCCCCTTTTTATAATAAAACTTTTATTTTGTTTTATAAATTCTTTGAGTTAGTCTTTTCTGTCATCTAGAAGGATTGTATCTAGAAGGATTGTAAGTGGTCAATAAATTCTGAAAACGCAATGTCTTTGTATATGAAGTGTCAGCCATAAAAATTCACACCACTAACCTTAGTTTTAGATTTTCATCTGGTTTAAATGGTTCGAGATCTTTGAAAAAAGTATTTTTTAGAGAATCCATTTTGAATCAGTTTTTACGCTTTTTAGTTGGATATATTAGTGAATATATGATATATTTAAATTAGATTTAATATATGTGGTTCCATTTATAATTGATAATTTTGTTTTTAAATTAAAAATTGAGACTGTGATATTTAATTATTTTATAGAGTTACTAACTTACAAAAATATATTTTTATATTTTAGGTAGATACGATAATAAAAGTTTGGAAAAATTATTTTCATATTTTTTATTATATTATTTAGTGTATATGAAAATATTTTTCAAAGAATTTAAATATTGTTTTAGATATCATATTATTTACCTAAATAATATCAAATATATATTGAAATGTTAAGAAAAAATAAAGATAAATTTCATTGTGAGGATTTTCACAAACAGGTTTGTTTTATACATACATAAGCTATATATAGATATATATATATAAATTATTAATTTATAATTTTAATGCGATCATATATAATAATATAAACCTAGAAGTTTCTAAAAATATTAACTTATTATCTTATCAATTTGTGTCATATTTTAAACCGTCTTAACTCGAAATCTAATAAATTTACTAATATAATTTTTTTATAATTTATCAAGTATTAGTTTATAGAGTTTCTATAGTATGTTAGTTACAGATTTGATGAATGAAATCTAGAGAAATAATTATTAATATATTCTTTAGAGATATCCAGAATTTAAAAATTAGTCAGTTTATATATTTGGAAATATTTTATTTAATAAAATATGTAGTTTGTAGTAGCTACAACTCTATGGAATCGTATATATTATGGTATGATGTATTAATAATTTTCAAAACTATATTAATATATTATTGCATACTCATTTGTAAATATATAAAATATGTGGAATGATATTAATCAAGTATATATAATTGCTCATTATAAAACTATTATGCTACAGACTCAGATTTGTTAATATGAAAAATAATCACAGAAATTGTTTTATATACAATGAGGTATATTTCTTTAATTTATATTGATAATTTTAATAAGTGAATTTTTTATTAGGTAATATGATTTATTTTTGAAATAGATTGTTGTTTGAAAGGAGATTAATAATTAATTTGATTTGAATTCGTTTGGATAGATTTGGATAGGGTTGGTGGAACATGTTTATAATAAACTAAATGTATACATAAATATGTTATATCACGAAATATAAATGATTTAGATGATACTTTATTTGAAATATAAATCGTTTATTAAGTAAATGTGATTTATTTTTGAAAAACATTGTTTGTTGATAGGAGATTAATAATTAATTTGATTTGAATTCAGATGAGGGAAGGGGTTTTGATTGATCGAAAAGAAGAATCTACTTCATAGATTTGGTTAAACATGTTTATAATAAACTACATGTATACATAAATATGTTATACCATGAAATATAAAGGATTAAATTGTAGTTATACTCTAATTAATCCCGATAAAAAATCACATGTAAAAAAAGTTCTAGTCTAATTTAATAGATTAGATAAGTTTTTCCCAAAATTTATATTGTAACAATATATTCATATTTATGATATTATTTGAAAAGTGACTTTCCTATGTAAACTCACGTTAATTTTAAGAGTGGTATATAACCTTTGTAAATTAAAAAATTATTCATATATGTCATTATTAATTTTTGTTCCATTTACTTTTCCTTAATCATATTTTAAATTTTAATTTATTTTTTAATATTCTATCACAAGCCCTATAATATAAAAAAGGAAATAAACTAAATTTAACATATTTAAGTATAGACTATATATATTCGTGAATTCAATAAGCAAATTTCAAAATATACATACCAAAAGAGCCAATTTCACCCAAAAATAAGTGTAGTTAATTACATAGATAACCTATATATATTAAAAATACCACTCATATTTGTCATTATTAGGAGTTTTGTTATATTTCATTTTGTTCTTAATAATAATTTTTTTCACAAAATTGAGTTTATGTACTTCAATTAGGAGAGGAATGTATATTTAGTATATAGAATAATTTTATGTGATCTGGTTAGGCATAATTATAAATTTATTACAAAAAAAGACTCATATATATCATGTTATATCAATAAAATATTATATAAATATGTGAATTACAATTATATGAAATATGTGAATCTTTTGTTTCATATTTCAATTGTTTCACATTTGGATCAAAACAAACCGGTATAAATATATAAGTCTCAGAAAATTTGTTATCTTTGGTTGATTATATAACTGGTTTTGGTAAAACGATTGGTCAAACTAGGGGTGGGCGCAAGGCGAGTACTTGCTATTTTGCATGTACTCGCGACTTGACTTGCCTTGTACGAATAATAAAATTTTCGACTTGTACTTGACTTGTTTAAAACGAGTACTTACTATTTCGAGTACTTGATGAAAAATAAACGACTTGCAAGTTACTTGCCTTGCTCTATTACTTACTATTTACGAGTACTTATGCACTATTTACGAGCTTTTTCGGAATATTTAAGAACTACTAACTAAATAATATTCTGTTAGAAATAGACATGAAAATTTGTTTTGTTTATTTTACTTAAAATAATATGTAAATTACTTTAAATAGAATATTTGTTCATATTATAAAAAGATAAATTAAAAAATGCATATTATGGTATATAAACATTGTATAGTGATCACGATAACAAGAATATCTTCTCTAGATAAGTAACAAGTAATAAGAAATCATATTACTAAATTTTTAATATTTGTTGCTGTGTAATGCTTGACTAGATAACGACGAGTATTCAAAGATCAAGATTGGATACAAAATAAATAACAAATATAAGAAGAGTAGTGTGTATTTATGTCTAGTCCTAAATGCAAGTAAAAGAAAAGACAAATATGAAAAACTAATTAATAGATTATGTAACAAATAGCAAGTAATGGAACAAGTAGCGGGGCGAAACGAGTCAAATACAAAATATAATAATGATACTTGATACTTGACTTAGTCTTGCAAGTAATGAAAATTGTCGCCTTGTTACTTGCCTTGACAACACCGCGTACTTGAATTTTTAAGGCGGGTACGAATCAAATACCGAGTTTAAGGCGAGTAACGAGTAATGATGCCCAGCCCTAGGTCAAACATGATATGTATATTATGTAGAGTTGACGGGTTATGAGAAATTATATATTGAACAACCAACTGAAATGTGCAATAGGAGATGACGTTAAGTCTAATGCAATAAATCCCATTTGATTGGGTACATATTCAGATTAATTGTAGTCGCATATGTAGTATGATTATCTAGTTTAGATTTAAATGTTTAGATACATATTGGCTTTGTTTAGTTACTAATGACATGGTTAAATAGAATAAAACTCAGGACCCTAAAGTAGTAGATTAGATGATTACATCATGTGAAAAAATAAGAATGTGTAAAATATCAGCTAAATTTGTTTTGTTGTTTTTGTTTTAATCCGACAACACGAAATCTATAATTAGCTAGAAGACAGAATATTAAAATTACGTATGTGTTACAACTTACAAATACTAATTTTTTAAAAAAGTATTAAATTTTCTCCATATATATATTATAACATAAATACCAGTTAATGTAAATCATTTCAAACTTTTAACTGAATACATTCCTAGAATTTGAAGAATGAATATCAGTTTGTTATGATAAGTTTCTATACTATAATTGTATTATTTTTATTCATATATATATATATATATATATTTTGTTTTCCTAGATTTCGAAGAAATAAATATATATTTACTAGATATCCATAAATCTTGAATCAAAAGAAAATATTAAAAATTATATCAGTTATGAGAAAGAAAACCTTAAATACTAAATTAAGTACGGATATTCGCTTTCTATACAAATAAATGCATATTTGCAATTAAATATTGAGTTCGAAATGTATAATTTTATACAATTATTTTTGTAACATAAAATTATAAAAGTATTAAATTATAAATGAATGTAAATCTTTATTAAAAGTATATTTTTTCTAAAATCTGGTGTTTTATAAAATTCTATATAATAAATAGTTTCACTAATTTTTACTTTTATTTTATATTATGTACAATATATTTCTGAAAATGCAATTTTATAGTTTTTTCTAGATTTATTTGCATTAAATAGAGTAGATGAGATAATCCATAAATACTCGCAAATATCTATAAATTTTTTGGATATCCGTATTTCTCCGAGAAAAATCAAATCGAAAAATCAGATATGAGTTGAATACGAAACAAATCACAAAAACTGAAAATGATGCTACTATCCACTGTGCTCACCCGTGGTATAGAGTAATAATATACATCGACTAATTCTCGAAGACATATCGTCATGAGATAGATCCGGTTATTGGTAAAGGGAGTTAGATATATCTTTATCGCGCATGGCCACACAGATGGATATGAGGTTTTGATTCCAGTCCTTTAGCGACTTTCCGAACCGTTTTCGCCAATCCACACCACATCAACGTGGTTTGGATCAGAAAATTTTTCAGCCATAAGAAATAGAACGATCTTAAATACTACCAAAATTTAGAATCCGTGTTCACCTCTACTAACAAAGGAGATTGGATTTATTTGTATACGTAGGCCAAAACGTATATCAAATGCCGATACATAAAGTGAGCTGTGACGAGGCAGACAATGGCATAAATAATCAAGAGGCTGCTGAAACACAAAAGGAAAAAAAAAACTAGAAATTTATTAGTAGGCCAGAACGAGCATAGCCCATGCGGTTGCCACAGCTCCCACGACTACACTCTGCGTTACACTTGTTCTGTCTCCTCCACTCTGCATTCATAAAAATATCAAATATCAAATCTAACAAAAAACACATTTGCATTAGTTTCTAAAGATTTACCGTCTAAATAATCCTCAAATCTGAGCAAGCATTTATAATGAAAGAATTAATTTCTACAAGACAATTACGGATTAATTAAAAAGTGCTTAAAATCGTATCACACTAATGTTACCTGATCGTCGGCGGTTTCGGGAGCAAAAGCATCACTTGGTCCAGGAGCTTCCGTGGACGGTTCAGGCGGGCTTGGAAGCTCAGGAGCTGGAGACGGCGCGTTCTTGTGCTTCTTTGTCTTTTTAGTCTTTTTATGTTTGCTAGGAGCTGGAGCCGGGATGTCAGCCGACGGTGCAACCACTGGAGCCAGAGACGATGGAGAATCAGTCTCCGGTGAAAGAACCGGCGGAGAGATCTCAGGTGTAGGAGAAGGAGAAGACGTCACTGGCACGGAAGCGGATGATTCAGGAGCCTCAATGGAGGAAGGGGAAGCTGCTGGAGCCATTGCCGGAGCAAACGAGGAGGATTCACGAGCCTCGATGGAGGAAGGGGAAGCTGCTGGGGCCATTGCCGGAGCCAACGAGGAGGATTCAGGAGCCTCGATGGAAGGGGACGCTGCTGGAGCCATTGCCGGAGCAAACGAGGAGGATTCAGGAGCCTCAATGGAGGAAGGGGAAGCTGCTGCCGGAGCAAACGACGAGGATATAGGAGCCTCTATGGAAGGGGACGCTGCTGGAATCTTCACCGGAGCCGCCGTGGGAGTGGATATCGGCGACGGAGAAGCAGAAGTAATGGCGGGAGCTGTGGACTTAGGTTTTTGAGGAGACATATCAGGATAGTTGGTCGGAGAAGCGGCCGGAGTCTGGCCATCAACGATACCGGAGAAGATAATGTAGATTAGTGTAACCGTTAAGAGAATTCTAAGATCCATAATTAAGAAATTAGTTGAGAGAAAGAAGGAATTAAGACAAGACTGAGTGTTGGGACTGTAAGATAAAAGCTCACTTGTGTGTAGGCATCTGTATTTATAGATTGATGAAGATCAAGAGATCTCGACGGTTGATGTAATAGAAGGGGTCCATGGTTATTATTAGCCGTTGGAGCAGAGTGTTAAATGTTCTTTATTGTGGATTTGAAAGTCCATATCTGGCATTTGGACCCAAGATATTCTGTTATTTCCTCACCGTTTACACAAGAGATCTCTTTACACAAACCGAATGTGGAACTTGGAAGGTAGGAGGATGGACACTTGCATGATCGGCTACGGCTAATAGACATCTACCATACACAAAACACACATAATTTGCAATCATTTCTACTCATAGAACACAACGTCCTTGCAGGATCGTCAATCATGTGGTGTTCATCGGGGGCGGATCCAGAAACCTATTAGTTGGGGACACAATACAAAAAAGTCCAGAAATATGTAGAACAAGGAGCACTTTTTATTTTATTCACTAAAACTAATAATAATTGGTTAAATTTACTTGAGTTACATAAGAAAAATTAGAAAGCAATAGGGGTCCTAGGGGACCCCATACCACAAAGTTGTAATGCTGATATAAGTACGTCTGCCCCTGGTGTTCATATAAGTTGTAATCCTCCCCTAACCACCTATAGTTAATAGGCTCCCAAATTTATTTTATTTGTCAATTAGTCTCACTTCGTACAACATCCCGTATGTAATTTTAAAAAAACTCGAAAACTTACTTACCAACCATATAATTACTGTTTGAAATTGTAGTTCAACTTTATTGCTCAATAAAACATTATCTTTGATCTTTTCTTCTGATTTTAGTGAGGGTTTATTTGTGTAATAGCCATATTTAGAAATAAAACAGGTAGATAGCATTACCTTTGACATAGTGAATAATTTAACATTTCTATCCAAAATGAACTGGTTATATCCTTCCTACTAATAATTACTCAGTAAATATGTGATCTATGATTATGTAACACAACTAATATATGATCAGAAGTGACTGAAAACTATTTCATATTAAAGAAGAAGGAGATGCTATGTTATTCGTTTATTGACTGCATACATGTGCATTAAGTATTCTATTCCATATCGCCGAAATAGTATATGACTCAAACGTACCCACATTCATTAATACTAAACGCTACATTAGTCCGGTATTTATTCATTACATGTAGTAAAAGTGGATAAAAATAAAAGACTTTTAAAATAAGAAAGTGTATTCTATTTACTATAAATAGCAAGTCCAAAAATGCACAAACGCATGATTTGAAAGTTTCGGAGTATTCTATTATATATCACCCAAATATAATATAACTCTAAACAATAAACCATATCCCAATCCACCTCTAACCCATAAATACTAAACGCTAAACCCTAAACAGAAATATAAACCCTCATAAATATAAAATTGAACTCCACCTCGTATATCACATTCTATTCTACATTCGTTAAATAGAATAGAACCAAAGAAAACAATCATATACACACCAATATAAAAAAATTTCCATGTCAAATTTAGAGTCACTTCTGTACAACTACCGTAAGAAAATAATGCCACATCACATTCATAAACCCAACACACAGGTCTTAAATGTTAAACCAAAACTAACTTTTGAATACTAAATCCTAAACTGCTATCACTAAACCCAAACCTCTACCTTCCAAATACTAAACCCTAAATCCTAATAACTAAACCCTAAACCCAAGTATAAACCCTAAACCCAAATGGAATGGACCAAAATACATAGATAGAACTTATTGGTGAAAAAAATAGAACATTCTTTATTAATTATCAAATGGAACGATACATGATAGGGTCACTAAACCCAAACCTCAACCCCCACCTTCCAAATACTAAATCCTAAATCATAATCACTAAACTCTAAACTCAAGTATAAACCCTAAACTCAAATAGAATGGACAAAATACATAGTGTAGTACATATTGATGAACAAAATAATATAATTTTTATTAATCGTCAAATGGAATGATACATGATAAAAAAAAAGTATAGTAACATACTATTTCGCATAACATAACATAAATAGAACATTCATAATACATACTGTTTTACATTTCTATTCCATACGCATATAATATAATAGAACATACCAAAACTGTTCATCTTCTCCGATCAATTCTACGTCATTTACAGCGACAAAGATAAGTGTAACTAGCGACATCTGTGAGAATAGTACATGTATCCGCCTAGTAAACCAAATAGATTAAGGAAATTGAAGGGAGAGTTCACGAACCTTGCGACGGTGCCGTATACATTGTCGGTGACTCCATAGATTTCAGATTTGCGGAGCATCCCGTTAGTAGCCAAGCGAGCCGTTGCAGATGGGTATCTCCTAAGCAAAGCTACTCCAAAAAAATATCATGGTGGTTACACAATGGATCAATAATGGAGAAGAAACCACTCACGTTATAAAAATTATGTGATTCTAAAAAGGCCACGATTTACAGTTTTACACCAAATAAAAAATAATTTTCTTTTTTTCGTGCAGGTTAAACCGGTTAATGCGAATGACAATATCATATTAATATAGAAAAGAAACGGGGTGAGAAGGTCTGTTAGGATATTTGGCTATTTCGCCAATTATCCTTTCTTGTGTGCATATAGGACCCATCTTTTCCTTTGGGAAATTGGGCTTAATAGCCAAACAAAAACCCATATTTAGCCTGCTAGCCAAAAGCCCTAACGGATCACCTCACGCCGTCTGCTTTCTATAATATTTCCATATTATCCCTGTAGTAAACTGGTTTCACCGGCTGAAATAAATTAAATTATTTTACTTTTCTCGGGCAGAAACTGTAAATCGTGTCTACCCGTCCTCCACCCTTTTTTCACATATCCCAGTAACTCCCCAGATAGTCAAACGTCTCCACACAAACCTACTCTCACCCCCTCAATTCCCCCCTCTGTCTCCCTGATTTCATGTTCTCCACTCTCGAAATCGCTTCCGCCATCTACTCCGATTGAATCAATCCAGAAGAACTCATCCCTCTCTACTCGGCATCGCTCACCCTCTTCTCAACTATACTTCCTACTCTGTGTTCTTCTACGATCTTCTCCGTCAAGGTGATTTCTCCGGTTTCTTGACTTTAGTTCCTCTGATTTTCGATTCCATTACTACTTTCTATTTCAGAATTAGGGTTTACGGTTTCTTAAATATACAACCTTCGCCTACTAGATTCATCGATCTGTCACTGAAATTGTCGTCTACCTTTTCAAAACCATTGGTTAAAATCGATTGGCAACTATACATGATTTTTCGCCTTGAGTCCGTGTGTTTATCATTCCCTCCTTGTCCTATATATATCTTTCAGTTTAGATTTTATCTACATAGAATAGAATTTTCTTACAGTCCTTTACTACTCTGTCAAATTGTTCTATGATATCTGTATTTCCATTCCACACGGAATGGAATATATTGCTGCATGCTCCATATATATTTGCGCACATTACCAGACAATGATGTTATTTTCTATGTTCAACCCCATAGAATGGAATATGCAGTACATAGAATGGAATGGTTTTAAGATATACAGATAGAATGGAATCTAATTCAACATATCTTCCTCTCTGCCAACTTGCTTAGTTTGGTTACATCAGTGTTATGAAGTTTGCGTATATTATGATATAGGGATTATGGTGTATAGTTTCTTGAATGGTGTACTAATTTATGTTTAGGTTTCATTTAATGACTTTTTGCTGTTTGCTCCATATATATTTACGAACATTAGCAGACAATGATGTTATTTTCTATGTTATATCACTCTGACATTCTATGTTTTATCGCTCTCACCTCACTCTATGTATATTTTTGTTAAATAGTTTACTCTTTTTAAAGCTTCTACAACCCCATAGAATGGAATATGCAGGACATAGAATGGAATTGAATTATGATATACAGANTATGTTATATCACTCTGACATTCTATGTTTTATCGCTCTCACCTCACTCTATGTATATTTTTGTTAAATAGTTTACTCTTTTTAAAGCTTCTACAACCCCATAGAATGGAATATGCAGGACATAGAATGGAATTGAATTATGATATACAGATAGAATGGAATCTGGATCAACATATCTTCCACTTTCCCAACTTGCTTAGTTTGGTTACATCAGTGTTATGAAGTGTGCGTATATTATGATATAGGGATTATGGTGTATATTAGGGGTTAACTGAAGTTTATACTTGCTACTTATCACTCTTTTGGTTTAGTTTATAGTTTCTTCAATGCTGTACTGATTACTGTTTACGTTTACCTTAAAGGCTTACTTATTTTGATTACACTTCCTATTAACTAATGTCGCCATATTATGGTATATGTATTAGGGTTAATAGTTTATTTTAGGGTTTAGTTATCCCCGTTTGGGGTAGTTTATGGACGCTTTATGATCAGACATTTGTGTGTATTAGGGGTTAATGGATGTTATACTTGCTACTTATCACTCTTTTGGTTTAGTTTATAGCCAAACAAATGCTGTACTGATTACTATTTACGTTTACTTTAAAGGCTTAATTATTTTGATTACACTTGCTATTAACTAATGTCGCCATATTATGGTATATGTATTAGGGTTAATAGTTTATTTTAGGGTTTAGTTATCCCCGTTTGGGGTAGTTTATGGACGCTTTATGATCAGACATTTGTGTGTATTAGGGGTTAATGTATGTTATACGGTTTACTTATCACTCTTTTGGTTTAGTTTATAGTTTCTTCAATGGTGTACTGATTGCTGTTTACGTTTACTTTGAAGGCTTATTTATTTTGATTACACTTCCTATTAACTAATGTCGCCAATTTATGATATATGTATTAGGGTTAATAGTTTATTTTAGGGTTTAGTTATACATCTTTTCTATGTGTAAAGGAACTGCCTATACGTATATTTTTAGATAAATAGTATACTTTTTCAGAAACCTATTCTATTAGAGATAGATTGAAATATGAATCTACATAGTTCTTCCCTTGACTTTATTTTGATTATACTTGCTATTAACTACTATGTCTATATGTATTTGGGTTAATACTATATTGTAGGTTTTAGTTATGACTGTTAT